CTAGGAGAGCCCCAGGCGGGCCGCAGCCCTGGGAGGCGCCGCCGCCACGGGCGGGCGAACCGGTGTCCTCCTAGCCAGCAGGAAGCGCGGCGCTGCCACCAGAGTCGTCGGCGTTGCAGGCAGCCGCCAGCAAGAGCCCACCGCCGGCCCGCGCGGGGGCACCTCAGCCGGACGCCGCGACCCCGCCGTCCCTCAGTCGCGCCGCATCCGGGTCCCGTGCCGCCGCACTCACCTGCCCCAGGGCTCCACTGCCACAGCTGACTACCACTCCGGGTGCACGGTCAGCAGTCCTTGGGGTCGCAACCTCCTCGCTCCGGCGCCCCCATCCCCGCCTCTCTCAGTCACTTCTCGCCGGCTCCGCGAAGCGTTACACCCGCCCACCACCCACTGCCATGGCCCGCTCCGCCGCACCGACAGACGGAGCACGCGCGCGTCTCCGCCTTCCCCGCGCCCGCGCGTGCGCGCGCGCTCCCTTCCTAGGCAGGCCTCCCGGCAGCCCCCGCCCCGTCCTGTGCACCGCTGGGACCAATCCCCGGCCCCGCGGCGGTGGCGGCGGCGACGGCCGGCCTGGGGAGGCCGGGAGGGAACTCGCAACGCCACCTAGTCCTCTCCGGCCGCCTCTGCGGCAGTGACACCACTGCGCGGCGGTTCCTGCCTCTTTGCGGAATAGAGAATCCCCAGCCAGCCGCCTCCGGTAGAGAGCCATTACCTGACTCGGCCTTCGTAGCCTCTTCCCGAGAGACTCCTCTGTTGCTAGTCTTCTTGCCGGCCTTCTCCTCCCAGCCCTTCTTCCCAATTCCTTTCTGCGACATGAAACTGATTCCTCGGTTCCTCGGTTCTTCCCGGGGCAGCTCTTTGCCGAACCCTCTCTCTTTGCGTCTCCCCATCTGTCATTCCAGTTCTGGGTTTGGGGCTCTAGCTCGGTTGCCCTCAGTCCCTGCACTGAGAATGGTCATTTAAAAGGAAAAGTCCAGCCTTTCAAGCCTAATATTCTTTATCTGTGTATTTTTTTTCCTTTTGAGACAGAGTCTCACCTTGTCGCCCTGGATACACAACAGCTAGCATTTATCTGCCGAACCTTAAACTTTATCCAACATTTTTTGCTTACCTTGTCTATTAGTATCTTTTACTTCAACCAGAAGGTCATGGTCCTCTTTTTAGTGGGACATTTGAATTGTATTACGTACTTAGGAAAACCAAAATTATAACTAATTTTAAAGCTACTATATTGTAAATTAATACTACCGCAATAGCTTTGGGCAAATCGTTGAGTAGTCTGGGATAGAATCTAGAAATAGAACCTGATACGGAAAGGTGGAAAATCAATTCAGTGATAAGAGAATAATTTGTTCCATAAATGACTGTCGTTTTAATAATTTGTTCCATAAATGACTGTCGTTTTAACTGACTCTCCATTTATACTAAAGCAAGATCCATACCATATTTTAAAAATAAATTTCAGGCTCAGCGGCTAGGGCGCCAGCCACATACACAGGAGTTGGCGGGTTAGAACCCAGCCCAGACCTGCAAACAACAGTGACAACTACAACCAAAAAATAGCCAGGCCTTGTGGCAGGCACCTGTAGTCCCAGCTATTTGGGAGGCTGAGGCAAGAGAATCACTTGAGCCCAAGAGTTTGAGGCTGCTGCTAGCTGTGATGCAACAGCACTCTACTGAGGGCGACATAGTGAGACTCTGTCTCAAAAATAAATAAATAATAAATTAAAGAAGAACTAAAGATATAAAAAAATTATAAAATAAAAACTTAAAGGAAGCTAGATGCTGTGGCTCATGCCTTTAATCCTAGCACTCTGAGGCTGAGGTGGTGGATTGCCTGAGGCTCATGAGTTCAAGACCAGCCTAAGCCAGAGTGAGACCTCCTCTCTAAAAATAGCCAGGCTTTGTGGCAAGTGCCTGTAGTCTCAACTACTCTGGAGACTGAGGCAAGAGAATCCCTTAAGCCCAGGACTCTGAGGTAGCTGTGAGCTATTATGCCACAGCACTCTACTGAGGGCAACAAAGTAAGACTCTGTCTCCAAAAAATAAAATAAAATAAATAAAAACTTAAAGGAAATCTCTTAAAGAATAGCAAAATATCTTTGTTGAGGCAGAAACTTTAAGCAAGACAGGCAGCCCAGGATAATTAAAGAAAAATAAAAACATTTGTCTACATAAATATTTTGAAGTTTTTGCATGGCATTACAATGACAGATTTGGGGGAAGAAAAACATTGGATGGAATTGAACTCAACAAAAATATGGCAGGTGGCACCCATATGTCAGTGGCTAGGGCACCGGTCACATACGCTGAGGCAGGTGGGTTCGAACCCAGCCCTGGCCAGCTAAACGACAATAATGACAACTGCAACAAAAAATAGCTGGGCGATGTGGCAGGCGCCTGTAGTCCCAGCTACTTGGGAGGCTGAGGCAAGAGAATCGCTTAAGCGATTCTTAAGCCTCAAGAGGTTGAGGTTGCTATGAGCTGTGATGCACGGCACTCTACCCAGGGAGACAGCTGAGACTCAAAAAAATATATAGATATATGGCACATACATTGAATGTCTGACATTAAAGAGTCTATAAATGAATTTAAAAAAAAATAGCTCAGTGTTTTAAAAATATGAGTGAACTGGGGGACGCCTGTAGCTCAGTGAGTAGGGTGCCAGCCCCATATACCGAGGGTGGTGGGTTCAAACCCAGTCAAACTGCAACCAAAAAAAAAAAAAAAAGCTGTGGCAGGCACCTATAGTCCCAGCTACTCGGGAGGCTGAGGCAGGAGAATCACCTAAGTTCAAGAGCTGGAGGTTGCTGTGAGTTGTGACGCCATGGCACTCTACCAAAGATGATAAAGTGAGACTCTGTCTCTTAAAAAAAGAAAAAAATGAGTGAACTATACAGTCAATTAATGGAAGAGAAAAATGATTGATTAAAAATGATGTCTAATTTCACTAAAAGTCATGGGAAAGCAACTTAAAACAATAATCAATTCTTCACTTATATTGGCAAA